ATAACAGTCATATAAACTGTACATAGCTGCCCCCCCCCCCCAGCCAATCATAGCAAAATAAAACACCACAAAATTAAATTAAATAAAAAGGTAACTATTCAAAAATAATCTTCAAGAATGTATTAAAATATGTTTCATAATTATATACTACCTCTGTTTCATGTTACTTGCAACAATTTCCTAAAACGGATGGTTCACATTACTTGCAACATTTTTTTTCTTTCCTTATTTAGTAAGTTTTTGGGTGAGATTTGACCAAAATGCCCTTACTTTTTTTTTAAACCGACTTACTTTTACTACTAACTATATCAAATTATCTTACACACATGATTAATTAACCTAACCCTTCCCACCAAAATTACCCCCACCCATTTAAAATTAACCATCTTCCCAACCACTTCATCAATGAAGATGGTTGGGTTCTCAAATTTCCGAAGAATTCTCTAGAATAAAAACCCAAACCCTAGGTTTTTCTCACTCCCTCTCTCTTCTCAGCCGATCTCACCCCTTCTCTCTCTCTTCACTTTTTGGGTTTCCTCTAATCTTTCTCCTCCATTAGTGTCCTTGATTCTCTTTGTTCTTCACAATGACCACTCCAAACGACGATCATCCTGACCTTTTCTGCTACGAAGCACTCGAATATGGCGGGTCTAAGCCTAAGGCTCGCTCTCAAGCCACCACCAGATACAAGCCTTAACGAGGAACTGGGGTTATGAAGAAACTAGTTCGTCGCGCTTCACTCATTGCTAGGAGGAAGATCCGAGGTGCGAATCTCACTGAGTACATCTCCAGTGATGAAGACGAGAAGCCAAAGGCGGTTCTTGAGCCTAAGGTTGAAGATCTACCACCTAAGGCCTCAAATCTTGTTGAAATTGTTGTGAAGGAGGAGACTGTGGCTGATGTGGGGGCCCCTCAAGGTGTTGATGAGGTGGGTGAAGCTGGACATGAGACTAGGGAGACAAACCCAGGAGGTTTGGCGGCTGGAGAGGTGCTGCAGCCTTCTGAGTCCCCTCAGGTTGAAGGCGGAAGTACTGCTTCCTCTGGTGCAAAACGCATCAGATCTGGGCTTCTTGATGGTATGGAGCTTGATGATGTTTATATGGCGTACTTGCCGATTTACTACCCTTAGTACTATATCCCTCCTAATTGATTCACTAGCGTAATCTCTATACCCTACTCTTTGTTGATTTTTTATTTTATTTTGTTGTTCATGGTTGATGACATGATTTTGATGTTGATGATTGATGTTATGATTTAGTTGTTGATGGTTGAATCCCCTATGGTTATCTGTTTTGGCCTTTTAATTATGCTTTTTCGAGTGATTCTGCACTCATTATGCGCAGGTTATGCTTAATTGATTATGGTTACCTGTTTTTGGCTATCTGGGTTACTTGTTGTTGTTGTTGTTGGATAGTCTTTCTTAATTGAGTCCCCTACAGTTAAATGACTTTGCACTTACCATCCTATATTTGGATTTTTGTTGGGTTCATTTGAGCCAAAGGTGGTTCTGTTGGTGTTGATCAACCACCTTAGATGGCCTAATGGTTGTTCTGTTGTGATGCCTTGAGTCCCCTGTTCTTGATATGGTGTAGATGCATTGATTCCCTTGCCCCTAATTATGTGACATCCAAATGATGAAGGGACTCAACTGATAGCTATTTGAGTAGGTTGGATGCTCTGGTTACCTCAGATTGAGGTTTCCATTGAGGTACCATAACTCAATGATGCTTTGATTGAAAATAAAACCCTATTTGAAGGATATTGTGTACAAAAGTGTTGGTTTTATCATTAATGTGAAAAGGGTGTCATTTTTACAAAACACCTTGCATACATGACTGCCTAAGAATGTGTCCTAAGTATTTACCAAAATACACCTAACCAGTACGTAAACAAAGCAAAAAATAAGTTTAGGTTTTATTGGTTATGTGTGGCAGTCAATGAGTTCCCCCAAAAGCTCCCATGCATCTTTGTTGTATTCAATCTGCATCCACTTCCATATGTGCTTCTTCTTGACTAGTTGTTGGGATTGATATTGTGTTCAGATCATTCACCACATTTGCAATGAGTTTCCTATCAACTTCTAGTAAATCTGGAAGTATGCCTAGTCTGTCAAGACTTCTTTTCTTCATGTGTGGTGGTGTGTAGTTGTTTCCCCCCTGCCTTGCTAGTACTTCAACCATGCATGATTGAAGTGTGATCCATGAGTACTTGTTTAGAGTAGGATCAAATTCTGCAAATGCTCTATCCACTTCCTTGATAAGATCATCTAAATTCTTAGGAACTGATAAGTATTGGAGTGATTGAATGACATTGAAGAGTCCTTAATCTAAAACATTCATGTCTGGTGACTGTGCTGGTTGAAAAATAAACTGTATGTTGAAACTATTTGCTTGTGTGGCTGCTTGGAATTCTGGATATTGTGGAATCTGATGTGGTCTAGCATTATCCCACTGGATGGTTATATCCTTGGGCAGGTGTGAGGGCCATTGCTCATGTAGTGTAGGCAACACATGGTTCAGCAGCATGTCCCTAATTGCTTCCTTGTTTATACTCTGCACAGCCTTTGCCTCTAATGTGCCCTTGTCTCTGTTTTTGCTTTTTTTTTTTCTTTTCCATTTCATACTTGACAAAGGGAAACAACCCATACTTCCCATCATGCATCAGATTTTTGTGTTCATCATACACTGGCTTGCCTATCATCCCCATAAACATGGCCTTGATCTTGAACCTCCTTAACTGTTGTGCTTTGTATGGGTCCTCTTTAGGAAGAAGATAGAATGTCCTTGTTTATGGGTTTATGTAAAACCACTTCTCATCAATGTGTGTTACTTGTTGCATATCAATGAAGGTGGGGTCCCCTTTAGGTGGAATGGGGTTGATATGACTAAGAACCCACTTCATTCTTGCTATCTTATGGTTATATGTTAGTGCTTGGTGATTGGTGCTTGTGTGTGTTATTAGTCTACCCTTTGTCCTTAACCTATGCAATGTTGACTTTGAAATATGAAGGGCTGCAGCATAGCCCCTCTCTGTGGTTCTCTTGTACAAAGGGACTGATGTGAGAAATTCATCAGTGTACTCTATAGGTTTTGGACCAGTTCTGCCTAATTTTTTTTGTCCTAACATCAACAACAACTCCCTCTTCTATGTGATTTTTAATTACCTAGAACCATCTTGTTGTTGTTGATCTGTGAACATGATGTTTTCTGGCCAAGTTGAATAAAACCCTCATGGTAATGAGTCCCCCTCCATGTTAAGCAAGATCTCATCAACTAGTTGCCTTTTTTCCTCTACTGTCATTTCCCTACAGTTTCTGCCATTATTATGAGCTTGAGCAATATATTCATCATCATCATCAGCATCATTACCATCATCTGCATATGCATTGTTGGCTTGGCGTTGTTCCATATCTGGTTCATGATATACTGGATCTTGGTGTGCAATTTCTGCTTCATTTATGGACTGTTGATATGCTGCCATTGCTTGCTCTTCATCGTAAAGTTGGTGTAAACCAAAAAAGAGTTCTTCAAAGAACTCTGCCATGAGTCCCTTCACTTTTGTTTCATGATGGTAGATGGTGATGAAGTGGCGGCTGGAGTTTTTTGATGGTCTTCAACGGAGCCCAAATTCAGTACGTATGGATGCTGCTTTTGATTAACACAACAATTATAATTTAGGCTAATTATGCACTAATTGTAGGTTGATGTAATTTGTAGGCTGCCTTGTTTTATAAAACTTATCTGGTTTGCTTTTAATTAAACAATACTTATGGTTTCCCCCTCCCCCCTCCTCAATCCCTTGAAACAGAAACTAAGAATTATGATTGCAGATTTGGGGACTCCCTTTTTTATAAGGGCCTTTTAATTTGAATTTAATGAATAGTAAAAAATTAGGGGTATTTGACACTTGTTTGAATTTTCAGTGAAAAATAAGGAGGGAAAAAGGTTGGAACCAAAAATGGTCCCCTCCTTTTTAAAAGCCTGCAACTTTTGGGTGGGAAATAATCCACCCAAAAAAATTTCTCACTTGATTTACTTTTAACAAAGTTGAGAGCACAACATTTTCCTCCTTTTTAACTCTACTTACCCTTACCTATCATTAAAACCCCTTAAAAGTTTTGTCAAGGAGTCCGCAAAATCCCTTATTGTTGAAAGTAACATGAACCGGAAGTAGTATATAAAAAAAATCTAAATCAGAAGATTATCATGAATTCCATAGCTCATTCAACAACTTCTTCATCTTTTCTTCTCCCCAAAAAAGGAAAAAAAGAAAAAAAAAAAAGGGGGGGGGGGGGGGTTAACCATGAAAAGTAAGGTAAATCAGATGCGCATACACGAGAAGAAAATACAAGTAATGGAGTTCCGACAAATTTGGACCGACCAAGGCTATTATGACTATGGACTGGTTGGCCCATGTGACTATCTTCAATTGAATGGATGTTAAGTTACTCCGTAGATCTTGTGAGACAACTCCCAAGTGGCAGCCATTCAATGTAATCATGTACTCACACACCAAATCCGTATGTACTTTCTCCAATTTTTTTTTATTTGTAACAAATGAATTTTTTATTTCACATAAAATACTTTTTGTTGCATATAAAAAAGAAACCGGAAATAGTAGTATGTAGTAAACTCCATCCGTTTCAACTTGTGGCGAATAAAGTAAGAGAGAGATGGAGTAAGAAAGAAAAAGTATAAATAAATATGGATTAAGAGAATAATATAGCAAAGGTGATTTACCAGAAATAGAATAAAAAAAATGGTCAAACTTCTATTTTTGAGGGCCTGCCATAAACCACCCGACTGGACGGCCTGCTTGATTGCAACTTAACCGACTCACGATGACATCTACTACTATCCAAGAATGGTAGAAGGCCATCAAGGGTCATTTCAAAGATATCACAACCATATTTTTGCTTGTTTACAATGTTCGAAATTGACTTATTCAATGAACTGAAAATACCAACGGAACATACACAAAGAAACTGGAAAAGGGGGAAATTACAAAATACCCACATTCTAATTATTTTTGTGGCAAAAACTGGAATGAAGGGTAATGTGGTTTCAGATCACCCAGTCTATGATATCACACACCGGATGTTCTTCCAAGTGAGTAAATTGAAAGGGATTAAGAAACAAAAGAACTCAAATAATCCTGTTCTTTTATTAAGTTCGCTAAAATTACAACAAATTTTCCTCAGACAAAATTTGCAACTTTACCAACTATAAAAGAATGGAAAAAACAGTGGAGAAAAATTTAAGGTAAAGGAGAGTAAAAAAAGGACAAACTCGTTGATGTTGCCCTGCGGCCAACTTATTGCTTGTGTTCGTGCAGCAAGAATCATCGGTATCCAGCATTATAACCCGCCTCATTTATGCAGCAAGAATCATCAGCTTAATGTACACAGGACATATTCATCCTATCATCCATCTTAAGAAAGGCATCTCTTCCGTTTCCACGGAGTTTGCCATCCTTGTTCCCTTCCTGTTCAATAAAAAAATAAAAAAAGCTCAGAAGTGGACAAATCTATTATCTATCATCGAAACCTTCCTTAAGATAAATAAGACAAAAAAAGGAAATAAAACAACAATTCAGGCGAAAAATTGACGGCATTTAACTTACATATCTCCCAGTGGAATCACTGTTATTAATGAATGAAGCTACTGACTTCCGTTCTAGATCCATATAGAACCTCATTCATTCTCTCGGACCAGTTCAAATTCAGCCTCCGAGTAAAATCCTCTACCTCCCTGAATAAACATGTGAATACTTTAAATATAACACCAACAAAAATAGAGCATTATTCTTTTATCAATGTAGTTAATTTTCAGGAAAAGTCAATATATAGATGGTGGTAGTCAATTGATACATGAAGAAAATTGCAAACAAAAGTGAAGATATGCCAGGGAAGAATTCCATGAAGGTGTAAAAATGGGAGAAATACACCCAGAGCCTAATCACAGATTGATGTCAGAATGACATAATCATTCAGGAATATATCAATACTTTTTCCCCATGTATTCACAAAACACATACGAAGTAATATTTGAACAGAACAGTTTAGCTTTCCACAAAAAAAATAAAAAAAAAATAAAAAAAAAAATAAATCAGTTTGAGAGCTTCATAGTCAGAAAATTGTGTACTTGCTGCTTTCTCTATCAGGTTTAAATATTTCATAGATAATGCTCTCACATTCATGCAGTGTTGGTGAGTAATCATGGAGAATATTCAAGATAGGTAGCCAATAAAGTTATACATCAAAATTACATACAATAGACAAAACAATCTCCCTTTAATAAACAGCTGCTTTACTAAGCTACTATCAACGTCAAGATTATTGAGCAACGGAGTTAATCTACCATTGTTTCAAGCATGTAGGAATCAAAAAAAGCACAGCTGACAAAGAAAATATTTTGTGTTGTGAAATCTCATTTTAATCACCCCAAAACAAGAATGGATAACCATCAAAATCTGCCAAACCATGGAGCACATTATCAATAACCAGAATCACACATGCTTCCTCTCACTACTAGTAACGCTTTAAGGGATTCCAGCGATCAGTTTCCTTAAATTCATGGCAGCACATGAACTATTTCTCCATTAAGGGATTCATATTCCTTCTTTGAATCTTGTGAGAACCCCCAGTTAACCACTCATCCAACACAGCCAAGATTTCAACATAAACATGGGGTGGCCAAGGTAATATAACCTAACACACTCAGGACACATGTTTGTACCACAATAAAGCAGAAATCTAGAACTATTAGGTAACCTTGCAAGTGACAAGACGGGAGCCTCATTTCTTCATTTCATTCATAATTCGTAAAGGTTGAAAATTCAAAGACAAACCTATCAATTTGTTCTTTTATAGCAGGATCAATGTCATCCTCCCCATCGTCCAAGTTTTCCTCACCATCAAAGCAATAATCTAAATTGGACAACTCTTTTTTCGCACTGGGGCTAGCCCCATTGGTAGAGACTTGAGAACAATTGTCCATATTCTCCTACAGTATATGAAAACATTCATGAAATTTCATTTCTGATATCTCACTCAGGTGATATATAAATAAATAAATAAAAAAGATAAAAAAAAAATAATAAAAAAAATAGCCAGACTAACCTTGTGGTTCTCAACGCCGTTAATTAAAGGAGAACTTTTTGACTGGTCCTTTTTTCTTCGGTGTTTTTTCTTGCTTTTAGATGTTTTAACAGCTTTATTATCTGGGTAGCAAAAATATAGTGAGTGATTAATATATCTCAAATATAGAGCTGAATTATGTACAACAACAACAACAACAACAACAACAAAGCCTTAGTTCCCAAAATGATTTGGGATCGGCTAACATGAATCGTCATAAGGAATCGTATACAATTGAATTATATAGGGTTAAAAATATAGCAAAAGCTTAAGCAAGCTTTAATAGTCATAAAATATACATTTCATATGCTAACAGGCTAACAGCATAATCTAAAGTCAAAACATCAAAAAGAACATGTGGACCTGTAATTCCAGAAGAGTTCTATTCACTGACAAATTGACAATGATAACTTGAAACAAGCAAATACTAGAAACCTCACAAATTTTAACGAGATCCTCTGAATTTTTTTTTGGATCCACCACTGGCTCAAATTTATTAAATACAGAAACAAGTGACAAATTAGAAAATATTAAAACATCCAAAAAAACAGTACACTTACTAGAGAGCATCATAGAAGGATGCATCCTCCAGTCTTGGTCTAGTTTCTAAAAATAATGACTGAAAATAGTTCCAGAAAATGTGACAACCTACCTTTTTGAAATGGAGGGAGAGCTGTGTTTCAGTCTGGGTAGAGACAACCTCATAGACATGTGAAAGGAGAAGGATTTCTTGACTGTATATAACCAGCAGAATCAGAGAAACACAGGGAAACATGTCTGTATCAATTTTTGTTTAAAGATAAAAGAAAGATCGTAATTCACTCTTATGATGCATGTTTTAAGAACACGGGATTGACAGTAAAGAAAGATGCTCCCCGCAAAAAGGTTGAGACTGATTTAGACCTCTTGAGGAAAAGATGAGTGTTGCATAGACTTGGATTATGTTCTTCTCTAAAGTTGAAGGAAAAATATGATAAAGCAATATTCTTTTCCCAACTTGTTCACCAGTGCATAGAAATTGTATATGATAATTTAGATCTCTAAAATTGTACCCACAAAGAGATCATCTTAGAGAAGGATGGAAGGTCATATCACCTCTGATTCATGGAAATGAGAATTTAGTAGGACAAATCGATTTCCAACACCTTTCGCCATATTAGAAAATGCATTTAAGAACATTTTGAAACATAGGGATATGTATCATATAGAAGGAGAGGAAAGACATAGCATGGACACAAATTTCTAAGCTAATATAACAATCATCCTTTCGCAATACAACCTAAAATTGCCATAGTCCAGATCACCGGCAAGTGAGTACCGTGTTCAACATGCATCTCTAATCAGCAATTGCTGTGATACATTAGGGGTGAATCGCGAGCGCTCCTCAAAAACCGACACTTGCTAACAAAGGCCACAACTGAAAACCAATTTTATCTGAGGTTGCCTATCCGATCACATACTATCAAGTCCGAGGTTCTTTTTTTCATCAAATTCTCTATTTTCTCTATTAGTGCTTAATAGGTTTCTTCCATTCCTAATTCTGTTTTTCTCTCTCTACTAGTATGTGCTACCCTCATTTTTTTATTTTTTGTTTATTTATTTATTTATTGATTTATTTTTTTTATGGTGACTGAATAGTTTTGGACTTTGTGTGTTGATTGATTACTTGCTATGGCTATTCTTGAATCTAATAGTGCAGAAATTACCTATGAAGAACTATATTAAAAGATCTCCTTTGGATCTTTGCTTCCAAATTTTGCAAATGTAGGGGGGCTGGGGTGCTATTAACCTTGAGACAGGCCAACAACCTACAATGCTAGCCACTCTATCATCAGTTGCATTCTACCAGCAAGAAAACAATAAAAGATTTATAATATGGTCTCTTTGGACTCTTCACCAGCAGAAAAGGCAAAACAATGCGTAGCGGATTTGTAATCTTAATGGTGGTTCTTATCAAGCAACATATAAAAGGTTTAGGAGCCATATGCTTGGAAATCGGAACTAAGGGATAAAGGAAATGAGAAGGGTCCAAAAGGCTACTAATAGATATGGACATGAGATGGAGAAAGCTCTTGGACAAAGTTCCTCCTCATGTTGTAAAAGCTATTGGAGTGAATTTTCTTTAATTCTCTCACTCAAAACTTCAAAAGAAATAAATTGACTCCAAAATAAGCTTAAGATCTGGTTAATTTACACAACGATGAGAAAACAAGAACGTGAGAGGCAAGTGGTAATAAATTTGATGCCATGAAGGATGGCAAGCTTTCTCTTGACAAACTGAAACTTGAATATGTGTTTATCAAGTGAAACTACTAGCCATAATAAGACAACTGTCACTTTTATATCATTTGCGCATTATATACTATATTTATTGCTGAATTTAGCTTATATACAATATTTATTGCTGAATGGAACTTTGTTCTGTGTTTATAGCTATTCTAAAGCATTGTTTCAATTTGCAAGTCTCTGTATCCATTAATCTTTTTTGTGCAGCATAGCATTCCACCCCTAAAAGTTATATCACATAATACAAAACCCTAGGTGGTAATTGGTAAATAATACAACAAGAAGCATATCATTAATTCTTTATCAGCATAAGATGTCCTCTGGAACCTAATATAAACATGATTTCAGTCAATAAAATATTATTCTATCACAAGCAATGATTTTGATTTCGTAAGCAAGGAGGTAAACAGATATAGAGCTACAGTTCTTTTTGAAAAAAAATTAATAGCAAGAATCTTAGAGAACATCACACTCTTAAAGCTGAACTAGAATGCTTCTAGTGAAAACAAACTCCGGAAAGATACGAATACAGAACTGTTCAGAATTTGAAGTTTTGAACAGATAGATGGGGCTCAGATCCAAACTAAATTTAGGGTTTCTACAATTCAACTGTGTGCATATTTGAACTAATGAGTGGGTGAACTGCAGCATGATTAAACAATTTATTTGAAATTTGCAAGCCAATCTCTATAATTCTTCAGTGAATGAATACCGGTACTCTGTGGCATATTATATAGCTACTACACCTACTAGCAGGATTATACACAGGCCATCATATATCCATCATTTCTTACAAATAACTAACAAAAATGGAAGACTAAATTAGATCATCTTTATAGAAGATTTATACCATTGTATGCCAAGGTTAGGGTAGAAATAGAGGGGGAAGGGGAGGGGGAAGAGAGGGGTGTTGGGGGGGGGGGTGGTGCTGTCAAGTATGAATGCAGCCTTCTACAATTACCAGTGTAATTGCAATATACTTTTAACCCTGAATTAAAAAGTAAAAGCTAGACCAATCAAATTACCTTCATCACCTCCATTTATATATGACAATAAATCATCAACAGATCGGTTATCTACATGCATTTCTTCAGCTTCAGCAGTCTGAAAAAAAGGAAGCCAAATTGCCATTATAATGTAAACCAGAAAATTTGAATTGTGGTTTAATGAAAGCATGCACGGAAAGTCCCGAGTGGATACCTTCAATTTCTCTTTCTCCCTAAGCTCTTTCCTCCTTTTTGCATACAGCCGATTCAAAAGTCTGATTCGAGGATCATCAGTCATGTTTCGCAAAGGCTCCAACTTCTCCTCCTAAAACAATCAAATCTGCATTAACATAATAGACAAGATAAAGAGGACATGTCAAGCACACACAACACTGTAAGCATCAGAAACCTCTGTAAGATCATCAGGCAAACAGAATATCTCACGTATCTCCTCCGGAGTTTTGCCTTCAATCATTCGTGCAAGTGCACGGCTTGTAAGTTCAACCAGGGGCTTCAATTGCAGGCTATCAGCAGCAGATGCCAACTCGCAGAGCCTTTTTGTATCCATTCGAATGAACTTTTCATCAAAGGATTTCCGTTCCTAAGGAAATAAAGACGTATGTCAGGCTATGCATTTGCTTATATCTGAGAAACTAAATAGCCTACAAGGTGAATTCTTCATTTTAAAAATAATAATAATAATAAAAAAGAGGTCACTCTTTACATCGTAGTGTCTATCATAATCACCACCACTTGTTTTCCAATATAAAATGCAAGAAACAGCTCAAAGCACATATTATTAAGAGCAGGAAAAGGCCACGACAGTTTAAGTTGTAAAGAAAACCTTGTTAGAATGTCCTGGAACTTGATGGAAGCGACAATAATCAAGAATCAGACTCCACATGGCAGGATTGACTCTTTGCGGAAGACAAATAGCATGATTTTTGGATGTGCCCTTTCCTGCATGAATTTCATGACATATGACCGGGCAAAACATAGCTACCTCTTGTTCAACTTGTTGAATAGAACCATCAGCTGTCTGAAGCCAAATGTAAGTCTTCATCATCTGAGCATATATTGGAGCAGGTAAACTGTCAAGATTTCCATGAAATTCATCATGTTGAAAAACAGGAATGTCAGTGGAAGACTAGCACAAAATAAGAAACGATTCTATGTTTCAATGGGGCAAAAAATTCAAATAAGCACATTTCATTTTAAGAAAATTAAACCAGCATCACACAGCCTAGGCATTGTTCTTGATATACTCAACCATCATAAAAGGAAGGATTTACAATATTTTTGTAAGAAAAGAAAACCAAGCCAATTGAATCTCCTAAGTTCCGCGAACAAATTACAAATGAATATAAGACAATAGAAATAAGAGTGGAGAGTGGAGACTACAATGACACTGTCAAGTGGAACTACCAGGGCAAAGAACACTTCTCTTTTAAGAGGAAAGGAAAATACTAGCTCTGCCCACTCACACCAAAAACCACCAGCACCCCCACCCACTACCATCAAAACCACCATACCCAAATATACAAACCCTTAAACTCCAGTCACTAGTCAGCATCACCACCCCTTCAAATCTCCGACCCTTAACATTGAAATATCCTCTCTCAAAAAATCACCACACCAATCTCTTCAAAAGCCCAAAATCACCATTCCCCACCGATGCAACCTTACCACTATCAAATCATAACTCACTCTCTCTTCTCTCAATCTTTTATTATCCCCCTTATAAATTGACGGGAAGAGTGATGGGTAAGGTCATGCACTTTTCTCTTGATATTTCTCCCTCCTAGTTGTTCTCTGTTTAAAATTGAGGAAGGGTGGTGATGGCTTCATAGTGGTGGTGATTGGGATGAGGAGGGAAGGAAGATGGGATCATGGTGTGGTAGTGAATAGTTGTTCATCTACTTCCTTTATTCTGCTTCATTTCAATCAATTATAGGGTTTTTTTTATTAGTTAATTTATTTTTTTTTCCTTCAAGTTCAAATTAGCTGTCTGAGATGTGGTCTTTATTCTGATTTTTTTTTTCCAAAGTTTAAGTGACTATGGCAGCAGACCAGCAGTTGTGGAGGCGGCAGTGAGTTCTGGAGGAGGTACAGTGGGTTGCTTTGGTAATTGACAGGCATTATGTATTTATGTTATGGGATGAGGTGGGTAATTAGATATACAAATCGAAGTAATTAACTCCATGTGTGGACCAGCCTTTGACACTCTCTGTCTCTCCTCTCCACTTTCTTAATTTCGGTGCAAAAGGGTATGTTGCAACTATAAATAGATGAAGTACATAATTAAGCATAATGACTTGTCCCAAAATGACCTATTAATCCAACTTACTGCTTTGAGTAAAGAACATACCTTGGTTTAGATTCCACCACGTCCAAATCAGACATTTGCAGCTTCCTTCAGACTACAGATGAAAATCTACACCCTGACTTAATTGTCAGCTCCAACTTAAATACTGGTAAATAAATTAGCTTCTTCCTCTAGTTGGTGTATCCAATTACACAGCAACAGGCAGACAGCTCAACTGAGCTAGTATGAACAGCACTCCTGTAAAATAATCATGACACAATTTTGAGTCAGAAATATAACGAGATAATAATACATTTATAAAGGAGATTGAAAAGCATCACTGCAACTTAAAAAGGCACATTCATTCCTTTAATAAAATAAAATAAAATAAAATAAAATAAAATAAAATAAAATAAAATAAAATAAAATAAAATAAAATAAAATAAAATAAAATAAAATAAAATAAAATAAAATAAAATAAAAATAAAATAAAATAAAATAAAATAAAATAAAATAAAATAAAATAAAATAAAATAAAAATAAAATAAAATAAAAAAAAAAAAAAAAAAAAAAAAAAAAAAAAAAAAAAAAAAAAAAAAAAAAAAAAATAAAATAAAATAAAATAAAATAAAATAAAATAAAATAAAATAAAATAAAATAAAATAAAATAAAATAAAAATAAAATAAAATAAAATAAAATAAAATAAAATAAAATAAAATAAAAATAAAATAAAATAAAATAAAATAAAATAAAATAAAATAAAATAAAATAAAATAAAATAAAAATAAAATAAAATAAAATAAAATAAAATAAAATAAAATAAAATAAAATAAAATAAAATAAAATAAAATAAAATAAAATAAAATAAAATAAAATAAAATAAAATAAAATAAAATAAAATAAAATAAAATAAAATAAAAAAAAAAAAAAAAAAAAAAAAAAAAAAAAAAAAAATAAAATAAAATAAAATAAAATAAAATAAAATAAAATAAAATAAAATAAAATAAAATAAAATAAAATAAAATAAAATAAAAACTTTGTAATAATGTTAGTGCACAATGTTCATCCACGCATACTATTAAACAAATTCAACAGCAAAATTACAGCAATTTAATTTATGAGAAAAACTAGGGAAAAAAAAAATCATAAAAATTCAACATCTAACTGGTCAAAGGCAAACAGAATAGCAAGTCGTGCTACTTGTCAAAAATAAATGTCAAGTTGGACACTTCTTTCTCTTTTGGGGGCCTTCTTCATCTACACACTCAACAGAAATAGCCACTTTTACTTGAGTCATTGGAAAGTGTGATGGGGTAAGATCATCTGTCAATTCGCGTTTAAAAGAGTTGATTTTCAAACCAATTCATTTTTAATTAAATTTAGCATGAAATTTCAGGTTCCAAAGTAGAGTTCAAAAGCCATTAATTTTCAGGAGGGTTCAAGAGGGTTTTAGGTCATGCCCATTTATGCCAGGTTGTGTAAGCAACTAAGCAAGCAAACTAGACAGCAAGTTGTGACTTATGAATCAGTCTACAATTCTGAGTTTCTGACTAGACTCACTGTTCAGAGTTAGCGTTCAGAATAATCTCTTTGCTCTATGATTCTGACTTTAGATTCAGATTTTTATTCATAATGATCTATGTGAATCAGACCCACGAGCCACGGCTCTATAATTATAGCTATGAAACAATCCTATATACATCCTTAACATATGATTGATACCATTCAAATAATCCAGAATAGAATTGCATCAAGTATACCAAATCATCAATCACGCATCTTCTCTCAAACCTATTCACGAGCAAAATTTTCCGTACCCAGTTATACATGTTCCAGTTCACTTTCATTGCATTACAAACACCCATTTTGGCTCAAAGAGAGTAGACAGACCCTGTGTTCCACAAACTAGGATGATAGCTACAGTCACAATAAATTTCAATTGTTTTCACATTTTGATGCCAAAGCTATGTTGACAAGGGAAGAAATTAACCCAAAAAACTAATCCCCACAATAATAACAATAAATAAATAATACAAAAAAACAGAAATCCAATAATAACATAGAATCCAATTCAATAAAATGAAACACATAACTTATAAAAAAGAGCTTCAACATGATTTTTAATTACTCAAAAGTATCAAAAAAACAAGATCAGCTTCAAGAATAATCTCAGGGATTGCAACTTCCAAATTACAATACCTAAAACCTTTTACTAACTATAAACATTAAAAATTAGAAATTAAAAAAAAAAAAAAAATCATTTTGGTAATAAGCCTGCACATATATGAACATAAAAAAAACCCAGAAATGAAAAAAATATATATATATATCTAGCTCCACAATAAAACCTGAATTCAAATTCACAAAGAAATGAAATGAAAACAAAAATCGACGAAAACAATGCAACAAATCAAATAAAAACAACACAATAACAATCAAATCAAATGAAAACAAAGCAATAACACCACGAATAAAAATTACAAGAACAGAACACATCGAAATGGAAGATACCTGGCGGAGAATAGAGGGGCGGCGGAAGAGGCGGCGGAAATGGAGGAGAGAGAAAATAGATGGTGGAGCGCCGGCGAAAGGAGGAAGAAGAAGAAGAGAAAAGTGAGGTAAAGAAGATGAGATACATACAAAAATACCACCACCAATTATACGGCTGCTTATCGTTCGTTCGTTCGTTCGTCGTCAGGGGTTTTTTTTTTTTGGGTAAATTTTCTCTCTCTTCTTTCTCTCTCCTCTCTTTCTAGCTGCTCTTCTTCTTCTTTTCTAATTCTTCGATCCTGTAATTTTTTTTTTGGGTGGTCAAATTTTGTTATTTTGTTGTAATTTTTTAAGGGATGTAATTTTAATTTTTATTACGAGTATTGTAATTTTGTTTCATTAGGTTAGGACATTATAGGTTGCACGAAAATAGACACGAGTATAGATGTGGTAGTAATGATTTTTGGTTTATATTATGCTCAAGGTTACAGTAAATGCTTGATTTTTGTCATTAGTTATATGTTTGTGAGGATATACGGTCCTTATTAAAGATTTAATCTTGATTAGTAAATTGGCTTTCTATTAACACCTCACGCATCATAATAATTTAATCTTTCACCTTATCATTTGTGATCTATGGGTTTTATTGAAAATTAGGGAATCTATCAAAGTATTATTTTAAAATAATTTGTGAAAACTCAAGTATATTACATTTCTCCTCCTCCATGATTTGTCCCCATAATCCAAATGGGGAGAGGGAGATAAAATGGAAGAAATATAATAATGGATGTAATTATTTAAGTAACTAGCGAGTATCTCACTGTTAACTATTTTGTGTAGTGAAGAAATATTGACATCACAAATCTTGATCTATGTAATCTACATTTGTATGGTTTTAAATTATATAGTTGAAGAACCACAAAGTAGAGATGAACTCAAAAATTATACTTGTATAACTGCTTACCAAGTTGGCATTATCAACGCAAAAAGTAATCTTTACTTCACTTTCATCATCATTTGATGAACAAGTTGTGGACAATAACATGAGAAGCTTTTGACTATTCATTAACTAGCTAAAGAATGTGAAAACCAACCGGTCGATACAATACATGAAGCGTTTCTCAAACATCAACTCGCTCAAGTGCTCGCATTACATAGTTTCCAAGGAGCATGGGACAAAATACTAGGAAAGAATCAAACATATGAATGAAGGAACTTCTATCTGCACCCCAGAAAAGTCTTCTTCTACTCCGGTATGTAAGAGCATTGTGTCGAATATCTGCGCTTACAAATCGGAGTGCATGAAGGCTTTGGAGGCGTGCAGATAGCATCCAGGGGCGGACCCAATTAAGTGACATGGGGGGACAGCTGTCCCCCCAATTTAAAAAAAAAATTAAAAAAAAAAAAAGCAAAACAAATCGCACAGCGCTGCTCCATTTCAATCTTCACTCCAATTTGCCATTACCACTAGTCCACTGCGTCGCTGCTCCACCATTCCACCAACCGGCGACCGTCGAGGCTTCGTGCGTGCGTGGTGCGTCGCTGCTCCTGTGCGGCTGTGCTCCATCTTCAGTCTTCGCTGCTGGCGCGTGCGTGAGTGCGTCAGGCGTCACTGGCTCGCTGCTCCACCGACCACCGCCTGTCCGCCTTGGCCCCTGGGTTCCTCACCACTCGCTGAGTCGCTGCTAAACTTATGGTATGTCTTGCTAAGTTGCTAACCCTAATTCGAATTTCGAAATTCCCAATTTGTTAATTTGAAATCCCCAATTCACCAATTGTTAACCCTAATTTCCAGATTTTTGTTGAATTATTTTAATTTTAATTGCAATATTTGTTGAATTTTAATTTTAATTGCAATTTTAATGTTAGGTTTTATAGTATGCATTTATGCAATGATGTGAATTGTGGAAATTCCGAAATTGAATAATTGATATATATATTTTTTAATGTAATTAGGAAATGTCAAATGATTCACCTAATTCAAACAAATCCAAGGCTACTAGAAAACAACCCGATCTTCGACAATTCTTGTCTAAAAGAAAGAAACTCCATGAAAATGAGTCCAATAACTCCCCTTCATTAAGCCCCCCCTCAAAGTCAAGAAGATGATATGGAAATGGGTGGTTCAAGTACTTGTAATGTACCATTGGAGGAAAATTTGGTATACGATGTTGAACTTCTTCCTCATGATCCGGGAAAAAGAATAAACATAATGGATTACCCCGCAAATGAACGAAATGCAGTTAGGAGGGGTTATATTCTTAAAAAACCTTGCCAACCAAAAACTCATGACTTTCCTCAAAGACAAGTGTCTGGTTTACGTCGCTTTAGTGTTCATTGGTTCAAGAAATGGGATTGGCTTGAGTATAGTATTGAAAAAGATGCTGCATTTTGTTTTGTATGTTACTTGTTCAAGAATGAAGTTGATAGTTATTCGGGGGGTGATGCATTTGTTGATGGAGGGTTTAGGGCATGGAATAAACCGGAAAGATTTGAGAAGCATGTTGGTGGAATTAACAGTGCTCATAATCTTGCTTATGAGAAATATGTGAATTTAAGAGATGGAAAAAAAAAAATCTTGAATGTGTTTGACAATGCAAGTGAGGTGATTAAAAGTGAATATTTTATCCGCTTGAATGCATTTTTAACTTGTTTAAGGTTTCTTTTGGGGCAAGGTTTGGCATTTCGTGGACATGATGAAAGCGGGGAGTCATATAATAGGGGTAATTTCCTTGAGCTTTTGAAATGGTTAGGAGAAAAGGTTGAGGAAGTAAGACAACATACTCTTGAAAATGCACCTAAAAATTGTCAAATGATTTCCCCTTCTATTCAAAAGGACATTATTAATTGTTGTGCCAAAGAAACAACTAGGTGCATAATAGAAGAAGTTGGTGATGATTACTTTGCCATATTAGCCGATGAGTCAAGTGATGTGTCCCAAAAAGAACAACTAGCTCTTGTTTTGAGCTTTGTTAATAGAGATAGTGGAAAGGTAATGGAGCGATTTTTAGGCATTGTTCATGTTGGTAATACTACCGCTTTAACTCTTAAAGATGCAATCATGTCTTTACTTGTTGAACATTCATTGAGTCCATCTATGATAAGGGGGCAAGGGTACGATGGAGCTAGCAACATGAAAGGTGAAATAAATGGTCTTAAGACTTTGATTATGAATGATACTCCAAGTGCCTACTACGTACATTGTTTTGCTCATCAACTTCAACTAACACTAGTTGCCGTTGCTAAAAAGAATGATAGTTGTGGTTGGCTTTTTGAGATACTTGCAAATTTATTGAATGTGGTTGGAGTTTCTTGCAAGAGAAGAGAAATGATTCGACAAGATCAAGCTCAAGAAGTTGCTCGAGCATTGGATGTAGGGGATATTGTGAGTGGATCGGGTTTAAATCAAGAACTTGGTTTGAAAAGGCCCGGGGATACTCGTTGGAATTCTCATTACAAGTCTATTTCAAACATCATCCTCTTATTTCCTACAATTGTTAAGGTACTTGTACACATTGGGAAGCATGGTGTATCGGAAGATAAGTTCAAAGCTCAAATTGTTTTAGGACAATTAGAGTCATTTGACTTTGTTTTTATTGCTTACTTGATGTTGACTATTTTTGGTTACACTAATGATTTGTGTGTTGCTTTGCAAAGAAAGGAGCAAGATATTGTAAATGCCATGGAACTTGTCACTTACACAAAATTGGTGTTGCAAAAAATGAGGGAGCAAGGATGGGATACTCTCTTAAACAAGGTAACTTCATTTTGTGCTAAACATGGTATTGTTGTTCCCACTATGGATTCTCCTTATGTTCCTCAAGGAAGATCAAGACGTTTTGTTGAAGAAGCAACAAATGAACATCATTTTCGGGTTGGAATTTTTGTAAGAGTGATTGATTTGCATCTTCAAGAACTTGATGATCGATTTAATGAGAGGAATATGGAGATACTAATATGTATGGCTTGTTTAAGTCCTAAAGATAACTTCTCATCCTTTGATAAAGATAAGGTACTTAAACTTGCCTCTTTTTATCCTGAAGAATTTTCAAGCTTTGATTTGATGGCTCTTGAATGTCAACTTGATATATTCATGGAGAATATGCTAAATGATGATAGATTTCAAGGTTTAAATGACCTTAACTCTCTTTCTATGATGCTTGTTAAAACTAATAAGCATAAGACTTTTCCTCTTATTCATTTGCTTATCAAGTTGATGTTGATTCTTCCGGTTGCCACGGCAAGTGTTGAAAGAGTTTTTTCCGCAATGACATGTGTCAAAAATAAGTTGCGAAATAGCATGGGTGATCAACTTATGAATGATTGTTTGGTCACTTTTATTGAGAAGGATATCTTCCTAAGAGTTTCCGATGAAAAAATTGTTGATCGCTTCCAAAATATGAAGACTCGAAGGATGAAAGTGTAATTTTAATGTAATGTTTATGTAATTTTTTTCATCATTTGAATTGTATGACTAAGTATGTTTTTTATTTTGAAATTTTAATATTAAGTATTAACCAATTTGTGTGTTTGAGTTTTTTTTTGTTTTTATTTTTTGTTAAGCTTTTTGTAAGTTAAGCATTTTGTCCCTCCGAATTGAAAATCCTGGATCCGCCACTGATAGCATCGCCCATGAATAAACATAACTAAGAAAAATGTAAAAAGAGGGGAAAAGATAATTCTCTACTATATCTGGGTAACTACATCATAACCCTGAGGCAATGGTAAAGTATCAAAACTATACCAAACATTATTTTACATCTCCTACAACTTACACAGGGATTTTATCCCCTCTAACAGTCCTGATAGTTGATGTTACACCCTAAGTACTTCCCGTTATTGAGATGAATGGAGCCGGACATGCGGACAAGGTCTATCGGGTTCTCCCCTTGACCATAGATTCTTAAGATCACCACTTTTTTTAGCAAGTGTCAAGAATGTGCCTGCACAGATTATAGATCGATAAATAAAAGGCACAATCAGTGGTCAAACCAAGGCCCAACACTCCTCTTTTTCACCAACTACTATGAGTTAGAAATGAGAAGTACGTGAGGATGGCTAAAGTTCACCGAAATGAAAACACAAAATTTCAATGAAATGGAAACAATGAAGGGCTTTGGACCTTGCTGGTGTCTACAGAATGGCCATGGTTTCCAGTGGCTTTGCCACGGAGGAGAGAAGAAGTGGTGGCTGCATAAATGAGATGCAAAATTGTCTATGTTGCAGGCCAGGGTAGAAGAGCGAATGTGGGATAATAGCTTGATGTGTTATATTCTAATCAGTATTTCATCATGTGAATGAATCTTTTAACTCGATTCAATTTGTACAAACATATATATGGATAATTACCAAAATTCCACTACAACAAGTCCGACTTCAATATTCTATAATTAAATATGGAGGACCAACAATGGTTATCGGTGCTATAAGATAATTATCTCTACAAATATGCTACTTACCAAGTGTAAAAGGAACTATGTAGAGGAGAGCTGGTTGGCCATGTCCGTCCATCAAGTTCAAAGCAACATACGTTACAAGGAGACCTGCAGAAGAAATTTATAAGAACTTGAGAGATCATCTTCAAACTCCAGCCAGGAAATCTAAAACATACTAGCCAGCATATCATAAATCAGATGTCATGGAAGCATTACTGCTTTCAAACATATATGATGTAGATCCTATGTAGAATAAAAATTGTTTCAGACACAAGACAAGTAGTGTGATGAACCCTGCTATGCCCCAGAGGAAGGGGACGTTAAGACTAGAGCAAGAGAAAAAACACATAAATTTCTTTTTTTTTTTTAAAAAAAAAAAAAAAAAAAGAAGAAGTTGGGAAGGGGAAAGAATTGATAAAGGCAACGCCACCGATTTCATAATTAAATAAGATAAGAGAAAAATAACCCTATCCAACACAATAATGTTATTTCGATAATGTTATTTCGATAATGTATACATCCGAGTCCACAAGTTTCATAATTTTTCATACCAAAACCATAAGCAGTCATTCCCCACAAAAAGTATCCAGCTCGAATTCTCTTGTTCCCCAGCCAGTCATATCTGCATAGTCAACCACTCAACCCATTAACTTAATTCAACCAGAAATATCATGAAGCAAATGTAATTGTGTGATAATGGTGTATATACTCTAATTGGAAATTATATTAATATTTTAGCACTGCCCTCGAATTTAATGCAGAAATCACAAGTCCTTCCAAAAACACAATTCAAAAGCATTCCTGTATGCTACAGGATGGACATTGCAAGTATTTTGGATTCCAACATTCAACATAATGCCATTCAAATATTCAATACTCAATAGAATAAAGAAGTAGCAACTCGCTAAAATGCCAATCAAACTCATTTGCTTTTCAAGTGTCAGACTGCCATTCAAAAAAAGGAAATGAAGTATTGGAGTAGCATAGGTCTATAATCTATTTTTCAAATCAGAGCAGGTTTGTTCACCTTAATGAGAAGGCTATTACTAATCCTGGCAAGATGATGTCCCCAAATCCAATGACACTGTAACCGCCCCACGGGTCAAACATCCTTGGTATCTTCAACAACATTGGAATTCCATCTTCCCCACTATTATCACCACGAGCAACCTATATAGAGATCAGAAAACAAATTATGTATCTTGTACATTGAGAGACAGCTACATACCTTGAATCAACAGGGAGAGAATAAAACAACTCACCACAATCATAACACTCTCATGGAAGAACCACTTGGAAGCAAAGACCCAAAATATGTCATAAAAGAACGCACAACTGAGAAGAACTGTGCCAACCTGTCAGAATTAAGGAGAAATATAAAGTTACATACAGCTAGCAAATGGCCAACAACACAATTCTTACTCTAGCTTAACTCAAAGGCCTATACAATAGTTTCAGGAAGTAAACTTCAAATTCTTCTTGCTCTCTTAATAGATTTCAGGTTGAGCCACACAAGCACTAAATTGACCTTTAGGTGTCATACTAGTTGGAAGACTCAAAATCAATGATAAGCTAACATGTTCAACACTGCCACAAAGCTAATAGTCACGACGATTACTTGAGATTGCTACACTAATTTTGTGCCTTTTTTTACATAGAAGAATATTAATGCTTAAAGTGCTGGAAACATCAAAGTGGGTGGACTTTAGCTGTTAGTGAAAAGGACCATTCTTATTCAATGGTTTTGAATCTATAAAAAGATATGGGAGAAGGCCTTGAAAGAAAGAGCAAAATGTTGGAGATACAGCATCTAAGAATGAAACTTCCATATCATTGAGGTAATGAAAAACTGAAAGCAAGCCATTTATTAGCAAAAGCTTATGCCCTGAGAGCTCATATGGCTTGTCAAATCTCAATATCTATTCAAAAATTCCTAGAGTTAGAATTCCCAAAATTTTAACTAAATAAAATACACGTTCTTTGTTAAATGAGACCTGATTAATGACGCCAAAGCTCATCCCTGGTAAAATAACTTTCACATCTCACTTGTTAATAGGTTCTCTTCCTAGAGTACTGTAAAGCCAGAAAGGTGTAGCCTTGGGTTGTCTAAAAGGATTTGGTCAATAATCAAGAATTCAAAAGGAAATATATCTAGTTTTTCATGAATATTTTAGAGCGGGGATGCTAGATTTATTTGGTTTTTGGATTAGGGGTGACATGGGGGGTGTTTAGAAGGCAATTTGTATAAGTCACTTCAAGTAGTACATGCAATATAAAAACCATACACCATACAGATACCAAAGGAACTAAGGAAGAAATTGAGTGAAGTAAGGTTTTACCTTGAGATTTGGTACACGCACAATCTGAAGTACAGTGAGAATTAACGCAATACCCTACCAGAGCAAAAAGTTAGTTAACAGTTGTAGATTTTCAACAAGCGCCTATAACAAAGAAAAGGCATTTTAAACCATCCCCGCATGTCTTTCCCTGGAAATTGGGAAAAATAAGGAATGCTGGGTGGATTCACTAATTTTAAGATATCTAACGTTTCTCCTCCTTTTAATCCCACCCAGACTCTGGTTAAAAGTTCAAATCTTAGGTAAAAGAACATTTTATGCTAACTTTCCCCAGCAGAGCACGGCAAAAAGAACATTCCACCATCAGTACAAACTACAACAGTGGTCTGAGCACAATTCTTTTTTCTCTTTTATTGAAACTGAAGTATGTTATTCCAAGTCTTCTGTCTCCCCTTCCGGAACTAGTCCTAAGCTCAGTCTTTCCTTGAATTTAACCCAATTATCTAAGCCTATTCCAGGACTCAGCCTGTTATTAAAACAAAAATAATGCATGACGCAGCAAAGACGGTAATCAATGCAATATTCATAAGTGGTAAATTAGGTATAATTAAAGAAAATGGATAAAGATAAATTCATACAAGAATATCTTGACCAATCCATGCAAAGGGCTCCCGGCGGTAAACACCCCAAAGAACAGCACATACTATGCAGAACGGAGAAACAGCCATAGCCAGATATGAGACTGCTCCAAAGATGGGCACTTTAATAAATGTTCCGGCAGCATGTTTAAAGCACCTGAAACTACATTTGCAAGCATGTCAGTTTATTCTGCATTTTACATAAATATATCTGCACAATATCACATAGACTTAGCCAACACATCATAGGATTGGATCTCATGTCACCAGACAGTACAACATGCACGTAGCTGAGAAAAGCATCAAATTGTTGCAGTTTATTTATTAGATAGAATTTAGCAATATGACATAACAAGAACTTCATGCAATATGTAAGCATACCTTGATAGCAACGCTACCAAGCACGTTTGCAAACCCTGTACAAGATCATAGAGCTTAGATCAGTACAGATTTTAACAGTGAAAAGCAAACATTTTAGGTAATACTTATGGTTGAGATGCCTCTCTGATCATACATAAATGTAAAGGATAATCAGGATCTGTTCTGCCAAAAGACAAACTAAATTTAACTGCAGTTGTGCAACTTATGAGCTGTGCTTACCTCTGCTCCACCAATGCAAAACAGAACCACCAGAACATCGATAAACCAGAGTGACATAAGTTTGTACAGCATAACCAAAAACAATGAAGCAACCACAACGAAAAGAAATGCTGATCTGGTACTGATATCTACAAATGCAGATGAACCAGTTCCTTCAGAAACTGCAACCTCCTCTGATGCATCCTGCAGAACAAAATCAAATAATTTGATTTTATCATCCATTTTCACCTTTTCAAACAAGAAAATACACAAGCATCCAAAGAATAGAAGGACCTTTAACATCTTATCATGTTCAATAGCTGCCTCCCTTGCATTCCATGCAGACCAGTAAGACGCACATAAAATAGTGCCGACAGCCATGAGCCACAGAAAAACTTCTGCCACATCAACTTCTGGGCGCTTTGGAGAGTACAGCTGCACATAAACTGAAGAAAGGGAATCCTGTAAATAGTTATA